TTGATGTTAGTTAGGAACTTATATATAGCATGATAATTAACAACTTCAAATATGTAAAAGATAGGAGTGTTTGATTGATTCTTGAAATTTAATTGGTGCCACATAAAATGAAATAAATGAAGTAATATTCATGTATTATTTTGAACGACATAAAAAATATTGTATATGTCAATAATTAACAACTTGAAATACTTAAAAATCTAAAATAATTTGATTGATAAATCACGATAATTTACAATTTAAAATATTTTTAAGATGTAAGAAGTTTAATTGACTCTTCCACATTGTTGAGCCAAAAATCACAAACGCAAGTGTACATGGTAAATTGACTTTTAATTATAATTACATGATGCAAGTGTGGAAAAGAAATTGAATAGTGATTTTAACTGAAAGATTTTCAATTAACAACTAAGACAATTAAATAACAAAGACTTGAGTTCCAACAGAGGTTTTGATCAATAATTAGGAAGATTTCAGGGCTACGACTTTCATACTAATTCATGTAGGGTGTTTTCAGTCTTTGATTCCGCTTGGTTGTCAAGTTACTGATTAATATATGAGGTTAATAATATGGTTATGTCTTACGAACCTCTAAACTTCTACCAAAATACAAGTCTAACTATATCATTAAGCAATGATATGTTTATTTAATTATGGGAGCATTATGTTATCCTCTTGTTTCTTAATCAAGTGAGGCAAACTGGATATCCTACATACAGATAAACATTCATTTAATGAAGAATGATCCTGTTCTCTATGTTCCACGTTTTATCTCTCAATTCCTTTCCAGAGTTCAAGAAAAGACAATACATGTTCTCAATACTAATCAATCATCAAGATAAAGAAACAAGAAAATAAGTCATAATAATAATCAAACTTCATCTAAAATTTCATAAATCATTCGTAGCCATAACCCTAGAAATATTGAATATAACTACTCATAATATGATTCACACGTTTAGATTCTTCAAAATTCATTAAAGAACAAAGAGATGGAAAGAGTAGAAAGACCTTTTGTCATGTGTTCAACAAAAGTTGAAATAGTTAAATATTTAACTCATAACTAAAACTAGCTAATTAATAATTAAATATTTAACTCATAACTAAAACTAGCTAATTAATAATTCATTTTGGATATATATATATATATATATATATATATATATATATATATATATATATATATATATATATATATATATAATA